TATTATTATTATTAGGCGTTAGGAACTCGAAAGCTCATTGCCGCAAATACCAAATTCCGCCACTGTTTCCGTCCCTGAGCAAGATCCCTCCATTTGTGACCCTCGTACCCCATTTCGTTAAGGTCCATTCTAATATTATCTTCCCATTAAGAATTATTAACATATTTAAATAGTATATCATACCAAGATTTAATATCTAGATACGATATGATATATTATCTAAATTATGACATACTGTCTAAATATATTAATAAAAGGCGGAGCGCATATTCCCAATAAGAACAAAAAAGTATGATACACGTAGGTATATTTATGGAATTAATATATAGTATAAACATAACATATTAACTATATGACTTGATTATAATGATACAATAAGTAACACATCTATCAATTTAAGAAGTGGTATAGCACATAAGGCAGAAGATTCATAATCCAGAGATTCCAGGTTCGAATCTATATAATCCTAGTAAAGTAAGTTCCAATAAAAAACATGAGTTTATTATATGTTTAAATAAGGTAACACGGGAGATCTAAATGTAATAGATTCAACATATATTAGTTCCATATAATTTTAGTTGCAATAATGCCACGTTTATCAAATATAATTTTAATAGATTGAAGAATAATGTTAAAAAACCGAATATATATACATTTAGTACATAACGACGTCTAATCGGACATCACAACTACAATTATTTGAAATTGGTATATGTTTAATCTACGGTATTTAGACTTTCCATAAATACTCTCTCTCTCTTGATTGAAATATACCATCTTGTATTTATTGAGATTAAAGACTAAGCTCGAATAAAGTTGTTTATGATAAAGAATACGTGATAAAAAAATTCTATCGAATCCTACAATTTTTTATATTGTAGTTATTCTAAAAGAAATATATAGAATCATATAGAAATGAAAAATATATTTAAAAAATACATAGATAAAAAATACATAAATTTTTTTAAGTGCAATAAGATTGCTGTAAAATACAAATTAGAAATAAGAAATACACAAAATAAAAAATGCATGAACTCATGCTACAACTTATTTAAACACGAATATATTATTGCAAAATAATTAAGCAATAAATTATTGCGGCTGCAGAGTCCGATTAAAGTGCGTTTATGAAACATGATCTGATTCATTTTAAACACTTAAACTTATACCGAAAGACCGGGAATTCCTATTGATAAAAAAGCATTACTCAGAAGCGAGAAAAGGGAATTACCTGTTTAGTTATCTTAAAAGAAAAATTCATTATATAAACATACAATGATAAGATATATTATGACGACAGAAAAATTAGAATATGCTTTTCA